TTGAGTTGACAGATTTAACTGGGCTGTTGAAGATATGGTCAAAGAAGCAGAGTCACTCCCTTCCCTTTTATTGTTTTCTGAAGACATAACAGTCATATGCATCTGTCATTAAAGAGAGGAAGTTCTCCATCACTGGACTTCATTTGGGCTTTTATTTGCTGTTTCAGTAGCATCTGGGAGTAGATCAATATAATATTTGGTAGGGAGCTGTATTTCCTCGTGATGCACTGTAAATCTTTTATTGAAGATACTCCCTCTGTTTATTGTTGAAAATCGATAAAAATAAACCTTGTAAAGTTAAAGCCTGGCAATGGTTCAGCACAAATCAGAGGGAAGAAGCAATGAGCCTCCCTCCTCCTCTTGGATAACTCCCAGCTTGTTTCTCAATGAATATTCAGTAACACTTTCCAGCAATCTGGGAACAAATTTAAAATAAAAAAAAAATATTCAAAGTCATGAATGCTTTCTTGTGAACTCAAACAGGGCTTCTGATCCACTTTGGTGGCTTTCTGGTACTGAATTGGAATATACCTTTAGACTTATCCACTCCCGAGACAGACAAAAGCATATCAGCCTTGTTCAGCTCAGATTAAAGGAGTTACTGCTGAGCATTGGAAAGCTGGGAAACAACCAAAATAGGTGGAAAGTAGGAACAGCCCAATGCACAGAAAAGTTTCTCCAAAGTTAACAGAAGTAACTACCCCTGGGCATGATACAGTTACTCCAGCATCATTCTTTCACCCTATGGCTATTATTCCTCATATACAGCCTCTTAGGGAGGACTCTTCTACTATTTCCATGAAATTCAGTGGTTTGGAATTATTTAGTTAAGGGGAAAATTTCCCAATACTGTGGCCAGAGCAAAGAGATCAGTCTTACTCTAAATAGTATCTCACTCTATAGTATCCATTTCAATAGCTTTATTTAAACATCTATTCTTAATAAATTATACATTCACATGAACACCGGCTGCAGAACCTGTAAGAATGCAGTGACTGTACTTCCTAAAGATACAAAAACCCCCATGAACTGTCATATTGAAATCAATACTCAAGAACAAGAAGGTATTTCACAACAGACTCTCTCCTTCCTGCTATCAGCAGATTACTGAACAATTCAGGTGGTAAATAAATGACATGTCCCCAGAAGAGATAAGAAGAACATAAGAACTTTCCACTGTGTGAAGAAGCAGACAAAAATTACTTATAAGCACAAAAAAAATTAAATCACTACAAAAGGAAATCATCACAGTACAAGAACGGGAAGATGGGAAAAGTGTGGTGCTTCTGTCCCACTGGGATATCCAGCAGGCACCATAAGATTGTGCTGGTAAAGCCCCTAACAGGGCTTTATATAATAAAAAAATAAATAATATAGAAATACAGGCTGCAACCCAACTATAAAGGAGGGAAAAGTGATAAAAATACAAGAGCAAATGAGGTGTTGTCTTTCTCAGTCATCTGCTGTTTACAAATCCACCAAGCTATCACCTCTTCTTAGATGATCCCACTGCTGCCATGCAAACTGCTGCCCGTGTGGGACAGGACGAAGGTGTTATCTTACCTAGTGATCTGATTACTGCTCTGGCAGTCTGCTTGCCTGCTACAAAACCAAAGAGAGCTCACTGCTTGCTGTGAGTGAGAGAGGGGCCTGCCCCAACACTGCAGCAGTCCCTTTCTAGCATCTTGGACAGTGGAGCAGTTTGCACATTTCTGCTGAATCCAGGGAATAATAAAAAGGCAAATACAGTAGTTAAATTTACTGAAATTAGCAAATTTTGCATCTTCCCAGGAAAAAGAAAGGAATTCTCTTGAGAAAGTCGGCAATGATGAAGAAGTGGATCGTGTCAGGGATAACAAATTTTGTCATTGGAAAAAGGAGTCTAAATGTGTCAAAATCCCATTCCTATTTAATCAAAAATAGACCTAGATGTGAGCAATCAGAGCTTCTGGCTCTGTCACATGTAAAAGCATGACCAAGTCACCTACAATACATTGCTAGTCTAACAGAGATTGTGCTGTGTGAGGTATCAGAGTTAACTTGCCTGCCAAGATCTGGGTGAAAGTACTCGGTTTAGCACATAATCTGGTTTTGACCAAGCAGCTTTTCGAATCACTCAGACTTGTAGTCCCCATCAGCCAAATTCACTTCTACTTGTACAGCTGTTCCCTCCTCTGCAAACACACCAGTGTGAACCACTCTGCTGAGCACATACCACATGGTCTGCTCTCCACTGCATCCCTGCTTTCTGGGACCTCAGAATGGAAGGGGCAGTAACAACATTGGCCACTCCTAAATTCCTGCTCTGGTGCCTGCAGGTTACACTGCACACCTCTCCAAAGAGGGCACAGAAAAACTGTCATCCTGGCTCAGCGATGCCCTGCAGTAGCATAAATAATCATGCAAGGTGGAGGCCAGCCGAAGATCCTCCTAGTAAATCGACACTACTTTTATATTAACTTGTCTTCAAATGAACATAGTTTTATCCCTTCCTCCATGATTACTGCGATTTAGTTGTAGCTTGAAGCTACACAACACCTGTAGCTATACTATCCCTGCTTTCATTTTCTGTATGAAGAAATCCAGGAAGGTGCTTTCTGTTGAAGAACTAGCTTCAATTAAATTAAATAATTCAATTAACCTTCAGTTAACATCATTGGTTATCCTACTAGCCACAACACATTTCTATCAGGTTCTTCACACACACATGCTCTCAAACTTATTTAAGCAACTATCAGTTAAAAAAAAAAAAAAAAAAAAAGAAAGTGTTGTATAAGAGCCCAGTCATGTTCTCTGCAGGCACACAAGTGACAGAAGGTGACAATTCACAGTTCATTGCTAAGTAAGAATAAATGCTAGAAGAACTCTGGGAATCCAAGCTTGCTGACAGTCATGTGTTTCACTTCAAAAAGACGTGTAGTCTCACAGTATGCCATTACCCAAGTCAAGGTAAAGCATGTACAGTCATTTACATGACAGGAAATTGCACTGGTATATTTTTCCAGAGCCAAAACTATGCATTCATAGACTGATGCTGGTGCTGAAAAAAAATTAATCCATGAAGGGAAACAAAAAGTGTTCAGCATTAGCCCATCATAAGTTGTTACTGAAATGGTTGTACCAAATATTCATCTTGCCAAAGACGTGAACCATGGGTGATGCCATAGGTTAAAACTCCAGGGCTTTTTAAAAATGGAAGTATTTAATATTTTCTTTCATTTTATTTATAAAAAAAGTAATCCAAACTTCAATTTTCCAAGTGGCTGCTACAGCAAGGAAAATAGTCAGTATTCTTGTGGCAGATGAAATAGTGTAACTGTTACTATGAGAGGTTCTGAAACTAGTCTCAGTTTACATCACTACAATCATCGATCATTTAGAGCAAGATGTCTAAATACAGCCTCAAGTCTATTTTTTTAACTCTATCCATTAAAAGTTGTCATTTTTTGTCTTGCATTCTCATTATTATTGGCAAGTTTCTCCACCAACAATGTTCACAGTCAACTCAGTCAACATTCAACATTATTGTTTTCATACAAGAAGCGTAATCTCTGTAGTACAGCAACCTGTGGGGACAGGTACCCACACAGCTGTGTCACCCGAATGCTGCCATCAGAAGTCTGACCTCAAAGCCCACCATGACAGGCTTCTCTGAAGGTCTCCACAAAATCACAGAACAGGCCAGGATGGAAGGGAACTCAAAAGATCATCTAGTCCAGCCTTTCATGGGAAAGGGAGCCCCGGTGAAATCATTTAGCATTCTCTTCAAAATTTCCAGCACTGGAGACTCCACTGCATCTGTGGGGAGGCTGTTCCAGTGAATGATGGTTCTCACTGTAAGAAATGTCTTACTTCAAGACAAATATGGACATACTGACATGATTGACCAAAAAAAAAAAAAAAAAAAAAAAAAAAAAAAAAAAAAAAAAAAAAAAAAAAAAAAAAAAAAAAAAAAAAAAAAAAAAAAATTGAAGTGAAAGCATTCACTCTTACATTCCTCAAAATTTATTACATTATATAACCTGTAAGCAGCTTAGGAGATGTAGTCCCATAATCATATTATTCTCAACACAGAAAGCTCTAGAACAAGCAGGGAGGACCTCACTGAACTGAACTTCTGAACTTGTGTCAAGCTAAAATGCCGTACAGTGGTAGTCCAAGAAAAGAGATGTCTGATAGTGGCACCACCAGTCTGTGAAGATCCATTTAATTGAAACTCCTCAGGGCAAGAAATATATGGGTCCTACCACCCACCCCCATTATTAAGTGGTGTAAATAAAGTAATTCATTCATATTTTAAAGCTAATGAAAAGCCAGATCCAATCAGTTTCACCTTGAATATTGTGTGAAGTTTTGGGCACCACAATATAAGAAAGATATTGAGATATTAGAGAGTGTCCGAAGGAGGGCAGTGATCTCTTCTCTGTGGAGACCAGTGACAGGACCTGAGGGAATGGCCTGAAGTTGTGTCACAGGAGGTTTAGGTTAAATATTAGGAAAAGGTTCTTCACCCAGAGGGTAGCTGGGCACTGGAACAGGCTCTCCAAGGCAGTGGTCACAGCATCAAGCCTGACAGAGTTCTGCAGGCAGAAGCATTTGGACAGTGCTGTCCAAATGATGGGATACTTGGGGTGTCCTGAGTTGGACTTGATGACCCTGATGGGTCCCTTCAAACTCAGCATATTCTGTGATTCTATGGTCAGCCACAGAAAGCTCAAACAAGCTCTACTGGGCTGTTTGTAGCTTTGGAAAGATGGTGTTTTATCAACAACAAAAGCCAGGTGCAAATAACTGATCCCTGAAGTTACTGCTATCTTCTTTCCCTGCCTTGAAGGGAGGGCAAAAGATAGTTTATAAAGTCTCTTACCTCTCCCAGTACCCGAGCTAATTTTCGCATCTTTACAAATCTTTGTACAGGGCTAACATTCCCAAGGCTTTTTTAAAGCCACCGCTGCCAAGCCTTCCTAGTAATTGTGCTGCACTTAACAAGCATTAAGAAATCCTTTGTACTATTTTGATTAAAACTGTACTAACTCTTCCATCTGAAGGACTGTTTGTCGCATTTTCATCCTTTTTATGGTTAAATCTCTAGAAATTAGCTGACCCTTTGCTCACAAAGACCTTTATCATTTAATTCTCAGCACTGAAGAACAGCTTAATGCCTTCAGAGTGGGAGGAGGACAGAGGAGTATTCTACAAGAGACAGTAACGTGTTATTTCACAGAGCCTGGTGATGGATTCACAAAGCCACATAGCAGCACTACTCCGGATCTTCCCGTTAGAGCAATTAGCTGCTCTCAGCTAACTGCAAGAGATTCAGTGAGAAGGAGAAGCAATCATCAATCGTTGAGGTTTGAATTCCTCCTCCAGCCACTTCTCCAAACTGCTGGGATGACAGTTGTGTCAAGCTGTTATTTCTTCATGTATTACAATGTTTTTAAAATCTACTTACACAGAATTAGCACAGAACATAAAAACGATTTTCCAGAAGAAATGCCTGATGCTTTGTGAGTCCCCATGTAAATCTTAGCCACAGAGAAAAACAAAAACAACCCTTGAAAATGCTGCAATCTGGTCCACAAACCCAGCATTGAATCTGTGGTTCTTTTATTTAGAGTTTAGGAGGGTGGAGCAGTAAAAGGCAGGAAAGCAATTTTTTTTCCAAGTACTTGAAAAAAAAAAAAAATTGCTTGTTTGTTACTTCCCTCAATAGTTGCAGTTTCAAACAAGCCAACAAAAAAAAGGCCACTAGTGCTGACACACCCCTCTTCCACCTTCAAAAGATGAAAGGAAAAGCCTTTATTTCGCTTTCTGCTTTTGGCCTCCCCTTGCCTGTGCTACCCCAGAGTTCTCTGGGGTTTGGTTCACCGTGACAGTAAGGCCTGCTGGCCTCTTCATCCTTTCAAAACTGTAGCATTCAATCTTTTCTTCACTGGCGACTGTCCTGGCACTTATGAGGCGAAATCCATCTTTGAGTAAAGTGTCAAACAGCAGGCCTAGCACATTAGTACCATTAATCAGCTTCCTATTATCAGGCTTTATGGAAACATACCTAAAAATCAGAGAACAAAAAAAGGCAGTTACAACACACATTAACTGCTTCTTGACAGTGCAGATCAGCACAGCAACCAAGGTTCTGGATATTTTTTAACTCATTAAGGACAACTGAACTCTTTCCTTCATTAACAGTAATTCTCAGTTCATTCAGTTACATGTCCAGGAAGAAGCACTTCTCTTTCACACACCTCTCCTATCCTCCCCAAAAACTTACTTTCTTGAGAAAATAGCTGTGACAACCTCCATCTCGTTTCACTTAATGGAGGAGAGGGGAGTGGCAGGTTCTATTTAATGCTGCAACTGTTTTTCAGGTAAGAGTAAGCGATGGTCAGTGAAGTTCCCATTCACCCAAAAGCATCACTTGCCACCACACGGGATTTCTCTCTACAAACAGTGACATTTATTGCAAAGTTACCTGGTACAGCAGGTCTTGTGACAACAAGTATGAAAATCATTTTCACATTCCGTAAAATTCTACCTGATATGAAGTACAGTGCAAGAATCTACCCATACATTTTAGGGAACAGAAGTCAGGTAAAGATACTATTACAAAATATATAAGCTGACAGGGGTGAAACTGTTTCACAGTTCACAGGGAAGTACACCAAATATTTGTGGAAAGCACAAAAAAAGGCAAAAGAATCCATGTCACCACAAAGATTAAGACAGAAATTCAGCAGGCAACATAATCAAACCTGACTTGTTTCATTAGTCAAGGTAAACTTTTCTATTGATCTGCAGAGAAAAATTTTTACCAAGTCTGAAGAAATAAAAGAAAGAATCAGAAATATTTTCTACACTATTTAAGTTGCCATAACCTACTCAACCAACTAAAATTAGTAATACATTACGAAGTTAAGGTTTGGCACACAAATATATGTCGCTTCATGAATGCAGAGTAGTTTTTCTTCTACTTGCTTAGCCAAAGAAAGCCAGAAGAAAGGTAAAGTTTATTTTCTTTTATAAATAATCAAAAGACTGCTCTGTTGGTTCATGTAGTCAGATAGAATAACCCTTTTGGAAATATTTCAATGAAATTTCCATAAAATTCCAGATGTTCTAACAGCCACAGAGGACAAATTAGGTTACATTTTCATATACAGCAAGAGCATGCCTCCATACAGTAGAGACATCCAGTAAAAGCTTGTTTAAAAATGTAAGTTGTCATTAGAATATGATACTGCTATCACAAAAATTACTGATATACAGTAATCTTAATAAAAACAGAACCTGGCTCTGAATTCAAAGAAAACCCACTATGGAGCCTATAGTTAATAATCTATCCCTTCTCCCTCCTTCTCAATAAAAGGCTCTACAAAAGCTCTCCAGTCCCTGAAATGCTATCTTGGTTTCACTGGTGTTTTTAACCCTGTTTAGAAATTCTCTTTTTCCTCTTTTCCATATGAAAGCCTTTTGAACCATGAGCTAGTGGAGATTTTAGGCTTCCCCCCAGTATTTCACTCCTTTACTTTGTCTCCTTTGCTTCATTTACTCTGTTTTTCATGTCTTCTAAAAGGTCATTGATGCTGTGAAATTTTAAAGCAAGTGAGGAGGAAAGGGCAGACAGAAAGACCCAACAGAACTCATAAACAAACATCAACAATATTTTAGAAAGCTGAAGAACAGACAAATCGGTGTAACAGAAATTAAACTGGGTGTTTCAGAACTATAAAAAGGTACCATCAAACTACTAGAAATAAAGAATCATAGTTCTTTTCTCTCAGACAATTTCTTTAAAACGAGCTTTGCTAGCACACAGGGTGCACTACTTGAACTAGAAGTCACAAAGACATCTCCATAATGAGAAGCCACACTAGGAGAGTACCTGGCCACAAACTGGTCCCCAGCAGAGTACTCAGTACCACACTGAAAAACCATGTCGTGATGAGAAGGTCTTTCCAAAGGAAGTGGAACGAGTGTTTTCTGAGAAGGAAAAGGGCTGCTCCAGCTCTGTCCTGGCTGTTGCCCTGTAAACACAGTGATCTGCTCAGCTAGTGCCTCCACAGTGGTACTGCAGGAACCAAAGATCCGGAAGAAGGCCTGCATTTCTTGGAGAGAAAAATGCACTTCCAAGATCTCCAGCCTCGGCTTCAGCAAGTGCTCCTGGCTCAGGAGGTCAGCCAGGGGGTGGAGTCCATAGAATTCTGCTTCTCTCCGCAGCCTCTGATAGTCTGAGAAATCAGTTGGTAAGGAGACCTGTAGAGTCCTCAAGAAGTCCATAATGTAACTAAACAAAGCTCCATCTCTGTCCACAAAAAATTCTCCATTCACCAGTTTGAATTCCCGCTCATCGTGGTTCAACATCCGTGCCAGCCTGGACTCAGGGAACTGCTGCAGTGTAGAAGCCCGGGTTACATATCTCACACCTCCCACGCTCAGAACGACCACCTCCTCATTACTCATCGCTACCTCAGCCACTCAGGGATCATAACTCTTTGATCTACACGTTTGTGACTTGATCTTTCCTAAACTGCAAGGCAGCTGCAGCTGCAAGAACCAGTGAGTGGTTTTTGCAAGTGTTTAGAGTGAGGTGTGGAGCAGCAACAGGATTCCCAGGCAACAAAAATGTAAATATCGTGTACAATAGTTTTTTGTTTGCTGGGTTTGGTTGCTTGGAAACTTTGATTCTTGGAATTTAATGTTTTATTTTTTTAAATGAACAGCTTGCAAGGACTACTGGAATACAGTGAATAGACTGTCACAACTTATTAAACCTTCAAAGAGCCAAATGACTATTCCCAAAGTATGGCACATGTTACGTTTGTTTTCTGGAAATGTCAACTCAAGGGTTTATTCCATACACTGCTGTTCGTAAGACCACTGCAAAAAGAGGTTAGATGTGCTTCAAGCAAGACATTTCGGTATTGTATGCTCCTAAAGAAGGGCACTTCAGAGAACTCAAGCTTAAGGTTCACTTTAAATCACTGTTATCCTAAGGCCAAGTCAATACACCCAGAAAATTCAATTAACTCCTGAAACAAGATACACAAAAATACAGTAACAGCAGAAGAACCCATATAAGTTCAGATGCTAAAGCACTTCAGAGATCAACAATATCCATACACCTGTTACATGACACAACCTGTTCAAGGAATCATCCAATCATTTTTCCTGGTTTTTGGAATTACAATCTGGGGAGACGGAGCGGAACAGGAGAGAAACTGCTCCACCTGCCACCTCTGCAAGGCTAAAGCTCAAGCTGCCCTCCTGCAGCAGACCCCTGTGTGTGTGTGTGTGTTTATGTTAAGGCCACTTTTTAAGAAAGTGGGGCTTCATAGAAACATGGATCTCACAAAACAGCTCAGTTACCTCAACAATTCCATGCTGGAAAAGTAAACTGCAAAGTATGCACTGTCTGCAAAGTACACACTATCTTGCAGCTTGTTCTTATCAACTTCAACTGATTTCTTGTTACCTCTAGAATTTATGCTTGCCCTGAAGACGCATTTTTGTGTAGAACGCATAATCTGAATGCACAAGATAATTACAACATTTGGTTATACAAAAAAAAAACCAAACCACCAAATAGCTATTTCAGTGAGAAGTGAAATACGTTGTCAGACTCTAAGTGGCTCCAGACTGTGAATGATGCACGCTGCATTTTGCAGAGGAAGGGCAGTCCTCAGCAAGCCTGTCAATACAGCAGTCACCTCAACCACAACTGCTCTTCCTCTTACCAACTGACCTTCCAGTTAGAAAAAAATATTTTTTAAACTAAGATATTTTATCTTATTCTATAATGACATTAACATTAAACTAAGTACACAGTTCAGCCATGTATTTTGGTAAGAAAAATGATTTATAGTGAATAATATTCCCATAATCACGACTGAAAGAAGAATCCAGAAGTTAAAGTGTTTTCCAAAGCTCCATTTCATCTTCTGGTTCATCAGTGCTCAAACTATGTGAGCAGCGTGAATGTTCTGGCAACATTTTGAATCTCTGAATGTTTTCACCAGAAGTCTTAAAGGACCAATTAATTTTAAGAAGTTCTATGTTTTCTTCCCCAGATCTCTCTCAGTTCTTATATTTCAGCAGGGACTTCACAACAGTTTATATTTGCACACAAACTCTGCAACATTATCCAGTACAACCAACGTATAGTTTTTACACTTTTCTCTTAGAAGTGAAGCTCCATCTGCCATCTGTTCCCAGTAAAAGACTGCATGATCTGCTATCTCCACGTTATCTGCCAAATAGGACACGATAATTGTAAAGAAAATAAGACAGTTCAGTATAAATCTGCGTGAAAAGACTGAGGAAATCTTGAATTTGCAAGTGTTGTTTTCCTGAGGCAAGGAGAGTTTGTCCACATCAACTAGTTTTATTCCATTCCACTGGCTGGTATCAAAGCTCTTCATTGTGGGGCTGATGTCCACAGTGGAACACGGTAAAGGGGTCTCTTTGAGCACCTTGATTTTTTCCCTGAACTCCTGCATCTGTTGCAGAAATATAATGGGTTCAGACACATCTTTGAAGGCCTCTGCAATGTTAAAAGCCATCCGCTGCTCTTGCAGAATTGTGTTCAGTTTATTGATCTCCGGATCATAGGCCTGCATCACTGCAAGCTTCATGGTCTCAAAGTCAGAAAGAATCTCATTTCTCTTCTGCTCCAGCGTGTGCTGCAGCTTCTCAAAGAACTCTTTCACTTTGTCAGAATCTTTGGTCAGCATCTGCAGAGCTTTCCTCTTACTGGTTTCCAAGGTATCCAGCCGTGAGAGGGCATCTCCACAACGCCAAGTTTCAAAGCCCTGAAAGAGGGTTTCAAAAGCCCGCTTCTCCTGGGAATAAGCTTCTTCAATGGAACAGAAAACATGCTTTGTGTGGTCACCACGGGTGGCACAAACCCCACAGATCAGCTGCATGTCTGTCCGGCAAAAAATGTTAAGGGGTTGCCCGCTGTGCACTTTGCACACAGGCATTTTTGGAGTTACTTTGATTTTGTTGTACTTCTCCACAATACCTTTCAGGGAATAGTTGACCTGCAAGCTGTTGACTCCAGCAACAGGAGTCTCCTTCCTGCATGTAGGGCACTTGAAAGGAGACGGCCTCCAAAGCACGTTCCGCACATTTCCCTCAAGAATTCCTTCCAGACACTTCCTGCAGAAATTGTGTGAACAGGGCAGGACTCGAGGATCATCAAACAGGCTACAGCAAATGGGACAGGTGAGATCTTCCTCTAGGAGCTCCATCATATCCTAGGAAAGAGAAGAAAGATGGTAACAGAACTTACAAAACTTATTTCTCCCTCAGGGAGACTATGCAAAAACCAATATCCATTGGAGACACATCTTGGTGAGAAAAGGATCTATTTTTTTTCCTCCAGTATCCTTAAGACAGAGCCTCAGCTGGGATTTTGCAGCCAGTCCCCCAGAGCTGTGGTATCAGGTCAGCAGATGGCAGGCACAAGAATGGTGCACTGTTCAGGCAGAACCTTTTTTTTGGACTTTCAACTAAAAAAGCTGGAAAAAAAAAGGCTTGCCAATCCCAGCAGGGACTCTGAAAGAAAATAACTCACATATTCATAAAAACAGTTCAAGACTTATATCTTTCGTTGCTGATGCAATACACAGAAACTGGATTTGCACAAAAGATACCCAGCCAATACGCCCTGCTAAGATTTGATTACTCTGTACTTGCTTAACTCATCCAAAGCTTCCAGTTTCAAACTCCATGCACTGCTACTGTAGACAACACTAAAAGTGACTGAAAAAGCCCAGTATTTTCAGTATTTCTGCTGATAAAGATGTGTTTCTTTGCTCTACTTGTAAGGCCAAAGGAGAGTCACCACTCACTTTAAAAATTAGGTTTTCTCTTGCTCTTGCAGCATTTTTAAATAGTCAAGTGAATGTGTTACTGTTAAGCTACTCAGCGTGAAGTTAAAATACTTCAAATAACAGCTGCCCATAATCCTTGAAAACTTATCACGAAACAAAATTGTTAACCATTTTTACTCATCTGCAATTACTATTTCCAATTCCATTCTCTCCACCACCAGCATCCATGCCTCAGCAATTTCTTTCTGTGGAGAGGACCTACAGGAAGGTTTATCATGTAATCCTTCCAACTGGAAAGTCTCAGCTAAGGGACCCAGTCCATACCCTTCCCTTGCCTCTAACCAAAGACAAGTTCTCAGATGCAGACACCTTGTAACTTACGGCATGTTCTTAGAAAATAAAAAGCTAATAAAGGCCAAAATGGGTGACAGTTTGTACTAGCCAAAGCTCTGAAACACTTAGTTTTGAGCTATAATTAGAAAGATGCTTCCCTTGCATAAATTCCTTCCACATTATACAACATGTATTCATACATATGTAATAAAATTCCTTTTATAAATTGAAAGATGTATCATAAAAAAAGTGCATCAAATACTGCTGTGACTACAAGGCATGTGAATGAGCTCTAAATTAGTTTTGATGTAAATACTAAAGTTTCTGTCCCCTCAAAGAAATATAAAACGGAAAATGTGGGAGCCAAGTGGAGAGCTGCAAGGGAAGATCCACGCTGCACAGGACAAGAAGAGCAATAAAATCAATACCGCTGATCCAAGGAAAGTAAAGTTCACCACAGGGAAGAAAGGCGAGGTCAGTCCTGAATTTCTTTCACTAAAGGCCCAATAGTTCCAGTGAAACTTCACAGTAAAAGCCATTCTTGAGAGGCATAAGCAAAGCTCCCATGCTTTTCAAGTGAGAAGGAGGGGCTGTCACCATCCAGAAGCAGGCACAATCTTCATTATCAATTCTCGCTGGGCTGAACAAAGACACCAGTCCAGTGTCAGAGAACTCTGACCCTTTGTTATACAGCCACCCTAACTCCAACAACTAGCCCACTATGTAGTCACAGGAGTGTTAGCTAAGAAGCTCTTAACTTTTACAACAAACTTTAACAAGCTCCCAGTACTTGCAGAAAACTTCTGTAGGGAGTAAGGGGTAGGGTATGATTGCTGCACTTGCCGGGATAGAACAAGAAAGGAGAGAATGAGGATGCAAAAGAGAAAAAGTGAAGGGAAAAGATCCCACATTGGTCCTGCACCCATAGATGGTCCAGATCCGGGGTCAACAGAAGCCCAGGGCCGATCCACTTCCTTTTACAGTTTCCCAAGCAGAGGTGCCCTTACTTTTCGCGCCATGTGCTGCTATTTGTGCATGCGCGGTGAACCCTTTTGAGTCCTCCATGAAATGAGTGAGGAAATGAGGAACTGAGAGGTTGGGGGTCTATGGTGGCCCAGGAGCCCCCTTTAGTGAGTGCCTGGGACTTGACCCTTCTCTTGCCGCAGGCACACTGAGCCCAAGTCTCCAGGCTGACTTGCAAGCCCGGCAACAAAAGGGAAGTTGGCTCAGAGCAGTGCCGCCCTGCCTCCGTGGGACGCTCCCTTCCAATCGCTGTGACTTTCCTGTCACAGCACAACAGGCAGAATGTTTGAGACAAACATGCTTTCATGCTTGTGCCTGGCCCTCCACAGAGGTATTCTCCGTGCTTGTTAGAAAAAGGAGATTTTGAAAAAATTGCCAGCTTTTCTACTCGGGAGTAAGGTCATCAGGCAGAAGAAGCCACCACTAGAGCGGGGGCAAAGCCCCATATAAAGGGTGTAATGACTCCATTTACCACTGAAGGTTTTCTGTAAGCCCACAGATCCCACTCAGAAACCTCATTTTCTGCAAGAAGAATCTGGTTTTGAAGCACCTCGATGCTCAAACAAGCAATGTTTCTATTCCATCTTCTTCCTACTGCTAAAAATAATGGGATCACAGGAAGATGATTTTGTCCCTATACTCAAGTCTTCCCCTTCATGAATACCCCTCTCTTTCCAACTTGCAGTCCCAGCTTTTAGCCACAGTAGCAGCACAAAGATCAGCTTTGCTCATGTGTTAAGAGGATAATAACTACAAAACCAAAATGAGACTTTTCCATCTTTTAGTAAATGGAAATTCACAGTGCAGAAAGTATTTGCTCTGGTCCATTTCCTTTACCAGGGAGGATTTTAGGTTCCAGTTAGAGAGCTGGAAAAGCAGCTTTGCATGCCTGACAGCAAGAACTGCAAACCACTGCAGAAAATGCTTACTACAACACATCCCATCAAAATTGCAGGACAAACACTGAAGACTTTCACACTACTAAAAATACAAAAAACGTATACAGAAAGGCTTCATGATCCAAATAAAACTGTCCTGTTGCACTCCAACTCCACTTATCCAGTTAAATAATTATGCTTTATAAATATAACCGAATTTCAACACCTTTATACAACATTATTAAAAACACTGAATTAAAAAAAAAAAATTAAAAAACACACACACACAAAAAAGGTAGGTTTACAAGCATTCCCCTCCTCTTACAACACCAAAAACACCAAACCAAAAATAGTGAAGGCTTGTATGACTGGTTGGGTCAGGTGAACTTCCATCTTCTTTAGGACATTAATTTCAGAGAGTAAATTGTCTGTGGATTGACACATCCCTTAGCAATCTGGTATTTGTGTGAGGAACTACAGCAACATTTCAACTTCTCCATTGGGAACTTCTCTGTGTAACTTCTGATCCAGGTTTGGATGGCCTGGAATTCCCCACTTGTAGCACACGGACCAAAAGCATCTCTGGGTACAAACCCATCAGATGTCTGTCATCTATCAGAAAGGGCAATTTGCACAGTTTTATCATTAGGAAAAAGAATGGCAAAACACATCAAACCATAAATACAAAACCAACCACAGTAGCTTTCTCCCACACTCCAAAGAGAAATGAATTTAGTATGCTTCTCAGCACAGAAGTCAGGTTTATCAGCCAGCAGCAGACTGAAAGCAAAACCAAAATTTTACCAAGGTTCAAACAAAACAGAAAGACAACTCCCGGATTACAAGTTCCCTGCAACGGCGTGTGTTATTTCATGGCAAAAAAATTTTCCAGGAGCACCAGGCAGATCCAATATGTGCAATCTCCAGAAAGCTAGAGAGGCCTGGAGAAATAAGGAATTTCGGTTCAGTGCAGTTTCAAGAGAGCTGGAAAGGCCTGGAGAAACAAGAGTGCAATTACAGTCCCACGAACACCGCTTCACCCACAGGGCTTGACAACGTGTCGATGGCGGGGGCTGCACCAGGGCGGGCTCCCGCGCTCACCTCCCCGTGCCTCTGGCCAGGAAGATGTTCCCTCACTGCTTCTGGTTACACCCCCTTCCGATCCCATCGGGGAATCCCCCCAAACTACGGCTCTCCAGCCGGCTGTCGGCCCTGCTCTCCCCGGGTCTCCGCCGGCACCGCAGCCCGGAGTGCGGCCCTGGGGGTCCCCCCGCGAAGCCCAGCGGGGCTCACGGGGAGGCGGCTGCGAGCGGGACCGGCCGCGATCGCGGCGCGGCCCCGGGCCGGGCGAGGCCGCCGCTCTCACAAAGCCGCGGCCTGCGCGCCCCCGGCCGCGCCCGCCCGTCCTGCCTCCCCCGTGCCCCGCTACTCACCATGGCCGGCCGGGGCCGCGGGCAGCGTGGGGCAGCGGCCGCCTCGGCTCCCGCCCCGCCCGGTGCCGCTCCCCCTCTTCCGGGCCCGCCGCTCCACCCGCCCGGCCCCGGTCCCGGCCCCCGGGAGCGATCGGCCGGGAGCTGCCGCCCCGCCGTTCCACCCACCTTGGCCCGCGGCCGCCGATCCAGCCGCGGGGCAGGAGCTGCTGCGGCTCTTCCCCCTCCTCTTGCCCGCGGGCGGCGCGGAAAGCCCCCGGGGCTGCCGGGAGAGGGGGCCGGCGGGGGGATGCCGCTTGCCGAGGCTGCAGCCTGTTCCTCCGCCGAGATATATACGGGTGTCAGATGTTTATTAACTCTCTCAAATTAGACTTCAGGCTGCAGCTCACAGGCATACGTTGCACAGCCTCAGGAAGGGCGCTGCTGGGTGGCAATCCCGCTGAGCATCTTCCACCTCCTGAAAGCACTTATTAAAATAACAACTGTTTCAAACAGATATCCTTATGTGCTTCCTAAAAGGATGAAGACTCATTCCTTTTTGCTTTAACGCACTGGTTGTACCATTTCCTGCTGGTGAATGTTTTGGAGACTAATGTGGCCTGTCAAACCTCTGCAGGCCTTCCAACCAGCCCCAGGGAGAGGAAGCAGGAGGGATCCCACCTCTGCCTGGAAGGACCTTCTAGTTACAGCACTACGAAACTGTGTCTGAAAGTGCTGAAACTGCAGGGAACCTCTTTGATTTGCATCTTTTTTGCAGTCCTTCTGTCTGCATAAGACCCGTCAACACAACAGGTCTCACATCAAGGCCAAACTGAACTTACTTTCAAGTTGGACTTCGTGAAAGTCTACATCAAAAACTGTTCCAAAACACATGTACTCTGCCTCCTGCATCCTTCACTTCCCTACTCTGCACCCACTGCAGTCACATCACTCATCAGCACAGGGGAGGCCCCTTCCATGACTACCCAAACAAGTGGCATCACAGGCCAGACTGTACTTCTATCAAATAAAGCTTCCTTGTGCATCTAACATCTTTTCTGCTTGCATTCCCACATTTGAGAGCAGTGTCTTCCCACAGAACCATCAAAGACCATTTGTTGAAACTTCAGAGAAAAGTTCTGGCTGATGGAAAAGAGCATTAGTATATCTGTGGCAGTATTTCCCTGTCTAATACAGAAACAAACCCAAGCGAACGCTAGGCTCAAAGGAGAGGCCCAACTTGAAGGGGAATGTTAGAATAAATGTCACTTAGCCATTTGAGGCTTGAAAATACAGGGGTAGGAATTTGGAATTAATTACAAAATAGTGGCAACTTCCAGCTTTTCAAGGCAAACACCATGTTTGTTGTAAGACAAAGGGATATTTGCCTATTGGCATCTTTAAACTACAGAGAGAACCCAGATCACAGCTCTTTTATTATAACAGGAGATTTCTGAGACTGAAACTCTGTGCTGTGGTTCAGTCAGCAACTTCAGAGCTGTCAGCTCCTGTTCTCCTTGCCTGGACCAGCTTTGCCAGGCTCCACAGATGCTCCACTGAGCTGATTCTACCCACTAAGCCAAGCAGAACGCTATTCCCTTTTCTTTCCCAAGATGAGTTTTCTGCTGATTCAACGAGTTAAACCAGTTCAGTGCAAGATTGGACAATCATTAGGTCTAACATCAGAGGAGTAAGAAAAAGAATTTTTCCCTTTCCATGGAAGCAAGCCATTAACATGACTTAAGATGTAACAGGTAATTCTACCCTGACAGGCAGATTCTTGCAGGGTTAAGCCAAGATGAGACTGTGCTACTGGCAAAAGTGATCATTCCATCCTTTCCCCTTCCCTGAGTCATGCTTTCCTGATGCCTCCTCTCTGCTGGCTCCAACATTCGTGCAGCCACATGTTAGGCTAGATCCACTTGCCAACAGAGCTGAAAGCTAATCCAGTTTACAA